GTCGCACTCAATTTTATTTTTTTATTGCCAGGCAGTGTTGGTTTGTTCATTTTTCATTCAACTGTATTAATATTTATTATGTTCTACTGATGTTTTCCATCTATTCATCCATTCTCTTCTGCTTTTCCTTATCCAGGGGGGATGGAGGCTATTCCAGCTACATAGGGTGAGAGGCGGGGTACACCCTGTTGGGGGTTGTTTTGTTTATTTAACTTGAGCTAAGAAAAATAAGTTACTGTCAGTAGGATAGGTTTAATAAAGTCAGTGTGTAACACCTTTATTCTCCTCAGCTTCAGCTTCAGCTAATTAAACTTTAATAAATTGTGATTTAAATTGGAAAGTTGGAAGTTAAAGAGGCACAGTTGAATAGTTGTACATGGTCAGAGAATGGACAGTGAATTTATTAAAAACATATATATATATATTGATGTGGAAGCAAATGAGCTGCTGTGGTGACTCGAATAAGAAACATCTGATAGGAGATACATTAACAATGTTTACTAAAGATTGTTAAGGTTTAACCATTGTTACTCTGCTTTTAGCCTGTGTATTAAAAACTAATTTCCTTATAGAGTTTAATTGAACTGGTTATTATATTTTAATATTTTATTTGTCCCAGCTGATAAGAAACAACAATAATTACACTCTAATTGGCTCTCGTATTATTTTTCACACTGTGTTATGACATTGCTGCTGGCATCTGAGCTTCTCACAAGGTGTCCTGTGGCATCAGCGTGATGACACATCAGAACAGCAGTAACAAGACAAATTTCACTCCCGGCTCGTTACGTATCGATGCTTCTTATAAAGACGCCTCCCCCGTCCCTCCCTCCGCTTCCTACTTTTACAGACCAGACGGCTTTAAGCGTCAATGCTTTTAAGGTGCACTGTTAATGCTTTATTTTCACCTAAATTAAACATAATCAAACAGCTAGTCCACACAAAAGTAAACAGCGGGTGAATATTCACTCACATTTGTTATCTTTAATGCTGTATGTTTTTATATTTTTAAGTTGTTGAGGATTTTTGGTACTGTGGATTTTCATGTTGTAATTTTATGGATTTGTTGTCTGGGCCATATTGTTGTACATTGTCTGACTGTGTTAATTTTCTTCAGATTCTGCCTTGTTTTGATGCCATTGCCACTACTCATGTGTATTTATACACTGGTTACAATATTAGCAATTTCACCTTCATATTAATCATCCAAGTGCAAATGCACTGTACAGTATTTCATTGTATTTACATTTTATAATGAGTTTTTTATTTAAGGAATATGTGCATTTATAATATTCAGTAGTTTATAAACAAATGATCAATCAAATTAGTAATTCTCAGTTCATTGTTTTGTTAACAGTTAACTATAAACTAAATATGAAATAACTTTCCAAGTTAACTTAAAGTGCAACCAGTGCCGTTAATTCACGGGAGACAGTTGGTGAACTCCTTGAGTGTATGTGGCTGTGCTCTACTAAATGGACTGCAGTGCTATAGTATAAATGTGCTGGTACAGTATGTGGGCATTGAGACAGCTTTATTTTACAGCAGTGATAAGAGAACATGAAATACAAAATATTGTAATATTCTTAGCTTCTATTAAGTAGATAGTATCATAAATTAAACACAGATTCTTAGAGGTTCACATGGTAAGTTTAAGTTCTTTACATATCACTTTAATTAGAAATAGCTCAGGTGCCTGACCTGTTATTTATCTTATGCTTGTGTGCTGCTGCTGCAATGCTGCAGAATGAAACACAGCGCAATGTGTTTCTAACTTTTCATCATGAGTCTTAAGTATTGACGTGCTACTGTGTGGCGACTGCAGGAGATGCGGTGCAGTGCTGTTTCTGCCCTTCACTGCTGCAGTCTCTGTGGTGTTTAACATCGTTACTGCCCTCATGTCACCACAGCAACCAGTCTGGTTACATCCTCAGCAAGGCCTTTGTTTAGATATTTATTATGGTCTGTGCATATGTGTGTGCCTGTGAATGTTGGGTGCTTGTTGATGCAGAGGTATATTGGTCACAATGGAGAGTCAATCACAGCTATCCACATGTCAATAAAGACACACTTTGACCTTTAAGTGAATGAATAACCACAAGTTTCATTACTTTACATCCTATCAGACAATCAGCTTTATTACCACTCCTCTCCTTCCCCCTTGACTCTCTTGTGGTATTTCCCAGGATGTAGCCACATGCCGTCTGCACTGCTTAAGCTTTAATAACACTAAAAGGTTTACTTCCCCCCTCCCTCCCAGCACCACCACCTCTCTTTTCTCTCCCTCAGTAACCATGGTCATTATTGAAATTATCACATCCTATTTAGTACCTTACTGATGACTCACAACAATCCTAGCACACAAAAGCAGGACTATGAGAAAAATCTTAAAATGATATTTTTTTAGCATCAAAATGTGGAATCAGTGAGAGTAAAAGAGAAAAACCACAATGGGAAGTTCTCACTTTGTAATGTGGTAAATTTGCTTCACTCAGGAGTCTTATATTGTGCAAGTGAACAGATTAAATATGTATTATTTATCAACAGAAACCCAGAGAGTGCACTGATGTATCTCTCAAACATGTATCATTTCTCCGTGCTGAATAATGAATGTTAAAGCAGGTTTTGAGTCTATGCAGCTGAAAGCACAACATGATGGATTTACAGCACCTATGTAATCCACACAGCATGAAGCTACAGAACATTTAATGTTGTATCGCAATGTCATGTGTGCAGCTAGAAATGGAACATACTAGCTTACCAAATTAGTTCTTCTAAACCTTTACTTTATTAGTAGTAACTTATTATTGACACAATATCCTATGAGCTCTGTCTTTTTTTAGCGCACCACTATTTTGGGTAATTTTATGTGTGAAAGTTTAGTTGAACTATTGATAAAGAAGTCGCTAAATGTGCAGCTGCTGTGACAGTCATGCTAATGTTAGCGTCAGTGTAACGCTGATTATGCTAGCAGATGTAGCCTCATTACGAGGTTACAGGGTTATATATGTCAATAAAATCTTTTCATATCTGTGGTTTCAACATATAAATAATGCTAATGATATATATATCTTTAAAAGTAAAGGCGGGTTTACTTTTAAAGGAAGTCTGAAGGCTGTATCACAGGAATTGATGCTAACAAGATTATTTTTTGGCAGCTTCTTACAATGTATTTGATAAAAGATATTTAAATGGGGTTTTAGTTTTGCGTTTTTATTTAATTTCAAATACATAACAAATAATAATAGCTTTATGTTTTAGATATTTGGTAGCATAACAAGTCATATTATGTTATTTAAGATTTTTATTTCAGACATCCAGCCAGCAGCAGGAAGAGCAATGAATATAAAAGAAGCTCCCTCTGGAAAGTCACCTTCAACCACCACAGACAGCTACTTATTCTACACGCATGTAAGTTTCTGTTTTGCTTTAACTACACTGCTAATGCAGTTTTTGTTTAGTTTCACTTACAGTACACTTTATGGACAGAAGTATAGGCCCACACCTCCTAACCTTTAAATTCTGGTGTTTTCAGTCCCTTGCTATGGGTGTATAAAAATCAAGCACCAAGCCGTGCAGTTAGTCTTTACCAACACTTGGGTCATTCTGAAGAGCTTGTAATACTGTAATAGGATGCCACCAATGATACTGGCAATGTTTCTGGCGGTTGATTTTCTACTTATTTAAACAGAAAAAAGAAATGGACTAGTCAACTAGTCTAAAAGACAGAAAATCCTCATATAAAACCCCTAATTACATTTTCATTAGTCAAATCACATTCTAAATGTCGCTGAACATTTATAAAATAGGAATAACACATTTAACTAACTAGCATTTATGACAACAGCTAGCAAGAAAGGTGATGTTTAAACATTTAGTCACAAGAAATCTAATTTAAACCCTTCTGGATATTTCATGATAAGCTGTAAGTGGTATTATTGCAAAGTGTATAGTAACCATAGTAACTTACCCAAAAAGTGGGAGACCACATATAGTTTGGGGTCGGAGACTGCTGAAGTGTATAGTCCATAAAAGTCGCCAATGCTCTGCTGACTCAGTAACTGCAGAGAAACCTCCTGTGGCATTAACGTAAGCACAAAAATTGTGCACCGGGAGCTTCGTGGCACTGGTTTCCATGACCGAGCAGCTCCTGTAGGTGTAACGTGTAGCCGGTGTTCTGACAAAACATCCTACTTTGTCAAAACATCCTACCGTAGTGTAACTTTATAGTCATGTCTATCAATCTGTGTTACCTCATTAGAATATACTACCTTATGTGGTTTATGCCTCCATCGTACATATCTATAGGTATGACTTTCTGATAGCCAAATCACACTTATCAAAACGTGCTAACAGCGGAGCGTGGTGTCCACCAACTGCAGGAGGACTAAAATTAATTGACAAGGTTTACGCTGTATGCCAGTTTACAGAAACTTAGAAGTACTAAATCAAGACTTGAAATATGACTTCAATTGAGACTCCAAATTGCAGTATTTTTGAAAAAAAACTAAACGCAACTTAGCTTGAAAAGTTAACAAATTGACAACAGCTTACGGAAAACAAGTATCAACTGTAATAAAGAAGTAAAACATATAATACTAACCATTTTTCACACGCACAAGATCGGGGTAGGATCAAATAATAGGCGTGTACTATTAACACCAAAAAACATGGGCGTTTTGAGTTGTACGCATGCGCAGTAACAACATCTAGGACAACTTGATAGGTAGGGTGTTTTGTCAGAACACCGGCCCCCTACTTTCGTCCATGTATTTTAAATGAAGACTTTTGAAACTCACCATTCTTTAAGCTTGAACCTACACTGCACCGCATTAGCAGTAGTAATAGCATTAAACATATGCTGATGTAGTGTTCCAGTGAAATTCCTTTTTGCATGGTGTACCTGCATGACTGTTATCAGCTAACACCACACAACGAAAGTAGAAAGGCAACAGTGCATAGTAATTATCACATCTTTGTTAAACAAAGCACAGCCAAAATCACTGCATAATGATTTATTCACATATTTTTTGTCACATACTATATATTATCATTATTATTGTTATTGCTGCAGTTGTGGCGCCTTTCAGGTATTTGCTTTCATTATTCCCATAACGAGATTCTATGCTCATATCTCTTTATAGTTTTCATCTTCATGCATGCTGAGTATTACATTTCACAGGAGCAGGATGCAAATAAATTAAACAGTCTCTTTTTTAAAGTTACATCTCATAATCTATCCATTCTAATAATGCTTCAGTTACATGCCTTTTTCAGAGTCCATAGAGGGAAGTCACTTCTTGGAACATACAGTTTCCATCAGAGGGTAAAGGCATTACAAAGAGCACATTATTAATACATCTCATTAAAGCTGGCAATCTATGATTAATTTTCATAACCAACCAAGCCCCTATTCCCCCACCCAAGTACAGCCTATCTCTACCGCATAGTGAAAACACTAAGTGTAATTATAACATTTCATCTATGTACAGTAACTTTGAAATATGGCACCAAATCAGCTTGTGAAAAAAAGCTTGAGGTTACATGTTAAAATATTTGTGACTACAATACTTTTCCTGTTTAAAGTGTGTAATTCCATTCATAAGCTTTCAACAGCAATAACATTTTACAAGCCAAAGTGCAAACACTGGCACACTTTACTTGATTTTTTTTTCTTTTTTGTGTGTGAACGTAAACAGTGCCTTGCAGGCACTGGGAGCATTGTGGTGCATTGACACAGTGTTGGAAAGTAATCTACCTCATCTTCAGTGCACCCTGTGTCCTATTTTGAGCAGAAGCTCTCAGGTGATGTGAGTCTGCAGTCTGTTTGGCACCTAATGCGGTGAAGAATATGGAGATTTGTGAGAAATTTTAGGAAAAAAGTCTGATACAATAAATGATGTGTTCCAGTTTACTAAACATTTTAGTGCTGATCATTTTGTGTTGTTCAAAAGGTGCTTGTTTGTCCACTGTGTGGTCTTAACAGTGTGGACATTATTTTTCTCTCAGTAGCTCAGATTAGTTTAGCATTCAATTATCCTGACTTGAGTCAGAGATTGGCTTTTTTTCCCCACACACATGCGTATGCATGCACGCGCTTAAGCTCTTGCATATGCACACATAATTGGAAAATGAGAGGATTTCTAAGCTACAGCAAAGGCAAATAATGAAGAACTTCAGATAATTCAACCTCACACAACCTTTAAACCTACAGTCTATTAATATTATTTGTAATTGCTCAGTTTTGTCAGTTGGGTTCTGTGAAGGCACCTAGTGTCACCTAGGCAGAGCAGAGCTCTCAATGTTACAGCAACACGGTTACCTTTTTAGTTTCAAAGTGTCAAAAACTCTACTTGGTGAAGTAATGGTTCATCGTCACTACACAGAGTCCATCTGTGCCCCTGAATAATAATGCAGTTGTCAGTTTTGTGCCTACTGATGGGTGGTCTGCGGCCAGGGAAAAGCTCTTCTCCAATATTTAAAAGGTCTTTGAGCCCCCAGGCAGAGAAGCCTCTGTCAGACGTAGGCTGACTCACTAGACTGGGTCCTGCCCAGGTTTGGGGCTTGGGACATGTGTGAAACATCCTTCTTGCGCACTTCACAGATGGACTTTCTCCGGGCCTGCACCCCTCTGATGGCCGTTTTTATCTTCCTCCAGCCAAGGTGGTTGAGCTCTGCCAGGTTAAGTAGCACACATATGCCACTAACTGCAAACATAAAGACCAAAAACACAGTCTTTTCTGTGGGACGGGACACGTAACACTCCACCTCCTTCACGCATGGGTAGCGATCGCACTCAAACATCCCCGGCACGTTGAAGCCGTACAGGAAATACTGGCCCGCCAAGAAGCCGATCTCGAGCGCATTGCGGAACACAACCTGGATGACGTAGAAACGGGAGATGCCTTCTTGCCGTCGCACTTTAGAGCTCTTGTGAGTTGGAGGGAGTCCCCGGGGTCCGTTAGGGATCTCCTTGACCTCCAAGCAGTCATGATCCTCCTTACTACTGTCGGGGTGCACCAGGATGCCGTTGATGTTTCGGGCATGAAGCTTACGAGAGTGGTGGTCATGGTGGCGACCATGGTGGCCATGACCATGGTGATCCATGTAAGGATGCAGCAGAGAGTAGCTTCGATCACGTGCTTTGGCTGACTGATGGACAGAATAGGTGATGAAGCACAGGCTTGGCGTGCACACCAGGATTATCTGAAAAACCCAGTAGCGGATGTGCGAGATTGGGAATGCCTTGTCATAACAAGCCTGGTTGCAGCCGGGCTGCATGGTGTTACAAATGAACATGATTTGCTCGTCCTCATACACCTTCTCCCCCACTATGCCAACTATTAAGATACGGAAAATCACCACCACTGTCAGCAGGATCCTGCAGAGACAGAAGGAGAGAGGGCAGGAAGGGAAGGTGGTGAAACAGGAGAAAGACAGCATCAGTTAATGAGGAGCAAATCCACAAAGGAACATTATATGTGGGCATGACCGTACGAGTGAGTCGGTATAAAGTTAATGGTGAATAGGTGCTGTCGACAATAGTGGTTTTGATTTTTTTTGAATATGCGTTTCTGAAAATTAAAGGGACAGTGACACTACATTCACTTTGCATGTGTGTGCGTGTGCACGCGTATTTGTGTGCTTGTAAGCAGCTGCCGTGATAAACAATACCCTGGGATGATGGAGCTGTGCTCTAGATAGCATGCGCACCTCAGGTCACTAATCATAAGATAAAGATGATTTCACACTCATTTTCACAGCTGGACTGAAATGGAACTGAATGGCAACAGCTATAATAGACACCCACTGATTTAAGAATCAGTCTCGCATGTTAGCATATTTCCCCTAGTGTTAATTAGCTTTTATCAAACATACCAAAATATCTCTGTTGCAAAGCAACTGAATAGTATATTGCTGTATAAATAACCTCCTTCTGTTTCATTGTTGACTCCCAAGTGAGGAAAGAAGCATGCACCGTATTAAGGGGCAACAACCGTCACAGTTGCAAAGCTTTTAGATGTGTAGCTATTTAAAGAGCTCACATAGAAAAGAACGAGTTGCCTCAACTATAGGGAGCTGCTCTCCCGAGGAGGTGGCATTTGCTAAAAACTGCATGGACTTCCCATTGAGCATCATTAGTGCTTTGCTGCAGTTATAGAAAGCTGTGTCCAGGGACCGGTGGATCTAGAGAGCAGTACAGCTGTTCTGTTATTTTCATGGTGTCGATCCAGTATGGGCACTGCGGAGGAGGACTCTGGCTTTAGGGCTGCAGTGTCAGCTCTTTCTAATGAGCGAGGAAAGCCTGCACATCATTGAGTTCCCTGGTATTTATGCCACAGCCGTGGATGTGAATGCTCCCTGTGTGGAAGAGCCAGTTGCTTAGCACACTCTTGTATCCAAGCACAAGAGGGGGCCACAGACGGGAAGTAAAGGGATAGAGATAGATGGGAGCTGGCCCTGAAGTGAAAGGCAGCTACGTAGGACAATAGCCAAAGTAATGGGATTTTGTTGTATTTTAAATATGCACGTGCATCCTAACTTGTTTGCTATAAAATGAGACTCCATACTTTATCTTTTAATGAGGGCTCAAAATGCCTACCGACCTTCAGTGACCAGTAACCACAGCAACCTGCAGAGGATGGCTGTATAGACACCCAGTATGGGGGGGAAAAATAGCCTACAGTTGTTAGAAATATCCGACAAGTGAAAAAAAATACATTTGTTTGAATGATGTGAAAGAGGAGGCAATTTGCTGAAGCCAAGGGAAAGACGGGTGAAGGTAAGAGGTACACCAGGGGAACATGCGTTAGCATGAAACAGACTTAAAATAGAGCAGTGCCTTGCTGCAGGACTATCGCTGCTCCACCTGCGAATGCATGCCTGTGTGTGTGTTTTTGTGCGAAGAAGACAGCCACGAGGACACAGACACAAAGAGGAAGAGTCAGCCATGTGTATGACTTGTGCAAAATGGCAAAGACTCACAGTCGCCTGTGCTCAGAGCAGCTGCCAGCGTGCACGCTACACTGACTTCCATCATGGTTAAAAATCCAGCAGAATAAAGCTCCCCCGCATCTTTGGACTTTCAGAAGTTCAAATCTGGTCCTGTGTGTCATTCACATTAAGACATCTGTCAACATCTGCTCCTTTGCGGTTAGCCTGATGTGTACGGGCTCACTAGTGGTTTGACAGCAGTCGATATGGCTGAATGAATGATATTGATGGTTCTCTGCACCACAGGAAGATTTGACGCATTCTGCTCACAGGGACGAAGATCTGTGGTCGACACAGCTCGTCTGTATGCAAATATTTGTTTAAAAGATAGAGGATATATGACTAACTCTAGGTCAGTGTCAGTGTGAGAATCTGCAGTGCTGGATGTTGATTTAAAACCATGCAAGAGGCTCAAGAGCAGCTTTTCTGCACTCTACCTTGATTTTCTAATCAAGGTAATAAAAGAAATTGGCTGCTTCTCTGCCCAGTGATAATTACTATGTTATAATTACAACTTAATGCCACTGAATCTTCCTGCTGTAAACATCGGTGTGTAATGCCACAGACTCATGGGCGACATGTTTTTTAATGTTGAACTGAAATATTCTTAGTTCAGACTGTCCTCAGACTGAAGGTAAGAGGATTGAAGCTTTTTCTTCTTCTTAAAATGTCATGCATCGTGATTTCCGATGAGTGCATCCACATAGATGTACTGCAACATGTAATATCAGTTCATCTCGACAAGCTTTCCACTCTGCTGTAATGTGTTCATCATTGTAACAGCTTTTTTAGTGATGGACCAAATCCAAATCTGTTGACAAAAATTTTAAATAGTGCTCTATACCAGTCTTTCATTACATCGACATAGGTCAGTATGTATTTGTCTGTAGTCACCACCATCTAAACGAAAAACTGGGCTTTTTTTTTTTTACATAAATATAGAGGGATAAGGACTTTGTGATTGCAGTTTTCTTGTCCTCCTCAGAGTTTGTTCAATTTTAAAGTAGCGCAGCATTGCAGTCATTTAAAAATCCAGTCATTACTTCTGCTTTTTTTGTCATTAAAAAAAAATCCCAAGGTGTTCCCTGTATTGAGTGCTGTGTGTGTTTGTTTGTGTGTGGTGGTTTATGTGTTTGCTCTACTGCTGGATAACGGAATAATCAGCATGGGGCAGATTGCTGCATTAGCAGAAAGCAGCGCCCAAACGTTGTCTGCAAACATCAGTGCTTTAAGTCCTGCAGCATAACTAGCCAATACGGTAACTAGGAGAAGATTGGGACAGCCCGAAGGCCTGAACCTGCAGAATATTCAATAACAATCATGAATAATGAAAAAGATGTCAGAAGTTTTAGTGTCTCAAACCCATGGGGCAGAATATTAAAATACTTGAAGAGTTGATTCATATAAGTGGGCATGAAAAAGATTCAGGCATTACGACATATTACACGATGGTTCCTGTCACCAAAAGTTTCTTAAATGGCTGCTAAATTGTCTCCCACATCAGTCCCCACTCGTCACCTAATTTAGCATCCTGCTTCCCGGAGGACCCGGTTAAATCTAAGACTAATCATTACATTTTTAGAGACCTTCTAAATCCCTACCACTGTCCAGGAGATTTGATAAGATTTAGAAGTCAATCCTTCTGCGTCTATGGATCGTGTTCACGTCTGGATCTTCTTTTTTAATATCTGCTTTCTTGGGCTTCATCACTGACAGCTGACATTTTCATAAAGCGCAGAGACAAACAGCAGCTCATGGGCATGTTAACGTTTATGTCTAGAGGGACAGAAATAGGAGGAAGTAAAGATAATGAGGTGGTATTTTGTTGCGTTAACCTTCAAAGTGATCCTCAGGCAGCTGATTGACCTGTAAGATTGTGTGTGCAGTGTAATGTTAGCTGCTCATCAGCTGGTGTGTCGGCTGGACATGCAAGCTCTGTCTTTCCCAGAGGCTTTAACACACACACACACACACACACACACGTTCATTCATGCAGCAGCTGCTGTTGCCAGCCTCCAGGGAGAACAGAGGCCCACAAGCACAAATGCACCAGAAAACCTACACTTGCTTTCATACATAGATTGTGAATATAAGAAAGTAACTGTTAATATATGAAGGTGCACAGACTGGCCTCTGAAGCGCTGGATAAGTGCAGTTAGCTGTGAAGAAACCTGGATAAAAATATTCCTGCCACCCATACGCTCTCAATAATAAGCTCCAATGATTGCTGATGGCAGCACATAATGAATAAAGACCTTACCGGGCCTTGAAATTAGACAGCTTAATTATCAGAGTGCAGACATTTCTATCCCCCCGCCTCTCATCACTGCTCCTCTCTTAAAGTGTTTTAATAGTTTAAGGTCTTGCCCACATATCCGGCAGATGTGCACGAATGCCTGAAGTGCAACTACGAGTCAGCGTGACGAATACGGTAATTTAAGCTAAACTTGAGCTGCGGTGGTTCTCTTACCCCTGCTGTCTTGAAATACGTTACTTAGAGTGTGAAACAGAAACGGTTTTTAAAAATCTGCCCGAGTTTAGCGACGTCAGACTCAAACCACAACAGCTTTTTCATCCTGCTAGTTTCCACTGTGCCACGACTCAGAGTCAACATGGGCAGAAATGTAATTATATCACTTGCTCATTCAACATCTCGGAGGGAAATGGCCTCCAGCTGTTTTGCAGGAATAACGGAGGAAACGGGAAAGTTAATTGGGGGACACTCTACAGGTATCTGTGCCAATTATACCTCAGCTAACAGACAACAGCGAGATCTCAATCTTCACAGCAAAACCATTACAGCTGCGCTTGAGAAAGATGCCTTAGAACGGTTTATGATGAGTATTTTTATTTTATGCCAAACTACTTCACGCCACTCAAAGAAAGCTGGGGGAAGAAATTCCTACACACAACGTTTCTGTTAACTCATCGCTTGGCCTAACCATCCGCAATGATAATGCAGAGCACGCCAGATGCAGCTTTCCTCTATCCCGTTTGTCTTTATGTCATCTAAAATTACTCTTTCATCTCGACTCAAGCTAGCGAGGCAAATATTATGCATAAGTGTTTCTATCTAAAATAACTTGAAAACCAAATAAATGGCATCAGCATTTCTTTGTGTATCCCGAACCAGCACGATTTGCTGATCACATCAATATACAATTTCAGAAGATTCCATTTATATGACATCTTGGCCTACAGTACAGTATTTGGCGTAATGATGGGATTTTACACACATCAGGTCTCCCATTTTATTCCTGTAATACATTTTTGTACAGATGGCCCTGCCCCTCCCTGAGCCTGGTTCTGCTGGAGGTTTCTTCCTGTTAAAAGGGAGTTTTTCCTTCCCACTGCCGCCAAAGTGCTTGCTCATAGGGGGTCATATGA